GAAAATTGAAACCCAAAATCAATCAAATTCAAGGAAAACATATTTAAACTATCTCACGAAATCAAGCAAACAATTAGAAAAAACAATTGGGTTGCCTCCCAATGAGCGCCTTTCTTTAATGTATTTGTCTAGATATTATCATGTTTTGTTCATGGAGGATAAAATCTTGTGACTCGTTTTATTGCTTCATCTTCTATATAGTCCTGATAACCCTCGTAAATAGAGTAATTCTTGGACACACGAGCTACGGGCTTCCATGGACTAGTAAATGGCGCTAAACAAGTCAACAATGATCTGCATTCTCCACCCACTCCTCCCTCACTTGCATTTATTGGTTCAAGATATTTTGCCATCGCCACTCTTAATTTATTCCTGTCAAGAAATTCAAAATTTTCTGGTATAATAAAGTCAATTTCATTAACAAGAATTGAAGAATAAGAGTCAGGAGAATATTGATTAAGAAGTGGAGAAAATGTCACCGTATTTTGAGATTGTTCACTGGATTCATTCACTTGGACGGGTTGATATTGGGGGCTCATTTTTTGCACATTGACTTTCTTTTCGACTGCATCTTTAGATTCGTCTCTTTGAAACTCTTACAGTTCCATATCATTTGGCCGGATAATTGCACTCTCATCTCCTTCAAGATTGATATTGGTTGGTGAGGGCAATTCTTCAAGGTGAGAAGCTAATCGCTCTATCCTGGATGTCAATTGACGCATTTGATCCGCCAGGTCGCGAAGGCTCGCTTGTGTCTCCTGATGAAATCGATTTGTATTAGCAATTAGTAATTCCATCATTTCTTCAAGAGACATACCTGACACGGAGGATGATTGTTGAGACTCTTGCTGTTGAAAATCCATTGGCCCCATCGCATAATTAAAATTGGAATTATCCCACCATCCTTGATCATACCTGTTTGGATAAGGGTCATACCACGTTTGAAATTGAGGTGAAAAATCTCCAAAAGTATCAATCGGAGCACTTAGATTATCTTGAAATGCGGGGCATGTGTCGATTGAATAACCTGAGGCAAAATAAGTTTTACAATTTGCAACAGCCCATTGATCATTAGGAAAAACATGAGTCTCATAACCCCATTCAGGAATAAAATACAGTCTATCATCAAAATACGGGATGTTAGCAGCCAAAAACTATGTAAAAAAATAAGAGAAAAATAAATTAAAAATGAAAACAAGGTGAACTCAAAAAGAAACAAATAACTAGTGCCAGTCCCCCGGCAACGGCGCCAAAAATTGACAGGTTGTCGAAACCTGTGCAATAATAAAAACCCACCCAAACTAAAAATAATTTCTGTAGATAGCGGGGAGCAGGGTCGAATCCACAGGGACTGGGAGTAATTATTTCTTTTCAAGTTCACAGTGACAAGGGGTGTTTTGTGCAGAAGGTGACAATCAAAGAAATTCAACTAAAATCTAAGAAGCTACTAAAAATTAAATAACAAATTACTAAAATCACATGGGTGATCATTGAGGATCTAGCCAAGAAATAACTTTAGTAATGGTTTATCTAATTGATCATTGATGCAGAGCCAATTCCAATTATTTATCAATAAATAGGTTATAACTACTAAACAAGCGATGGCAGTCAACCCCTCCTTACTGTGTCGGTGATTAAGGTACGCCCGTTAATCACTGCTCTAATTGAGAAATAATCCTAGGTACGCCCGTAAGATTTAATTTTCCAATTACCTTACGTATTAGAGGAGCCCTATTCTAACCAAATAACGCACTACCAGTGTTATTTTAGATTAGCCCGCGTATTCCCTTGACACAAATCTAATCATGCCAGTTGTCACTATTTTGAGGTAATTAAACAATTACGGATTTAACACCTCAATTGACAATAGATTATTAAATTAACTAATTATCCGGATCCAAAACAATCAATTAATTAAATAACCATAAGTACTGAAATCAAAGAATATGCGAATACCAATAAATAAAAGAAAAAGATAAAATTAAATCGATTTCACAATTTTTAGGCGAATCAAAGCCTCCGTTGTTCCTTGACTAGATAAAGGGATTTAGTTCATCCCGAATGAAAAGAACCCACAAGAAATTGTAAAGAGAGCCGCGGCCATTGTCCCTTGAAATTGGGGAAATTCAATTCGGTTCCAATGTTAGAAAAGATAGCAAAGCTACAGCAATTGATTCTATGGTTTCTACTTGTCCAATCATACGAGAAGGAAAAGAAAAAGCTACTTGAGCCCACAAGGAAAAGTCAAAAGACTAAGCCAAAAAGTTGTCTGCCATTGTTTGCTCTATTCCTCTCTAATGTCCTCAAGGCTGTGCGGCGGCTCTCCTTCCGGAGAGGAAGAAGCCTCCCCCGAGGTTTGCTTTCTTTTCCCTTTTTCTAGTTGCTGTCTTCGGTCAAAATTACCAAAAAGGTCCTGCATCTCCTTGTTCCAAGAATGCCTTTGATTGCCTGCTAGTTGAACTCTTTTCCGATAACTGTCAAATTGACACTTATTATGGTATTTTCGTTCTACTCCCTGAAATATATGCCAAATACAAAAAGTGAGTAGAATCCAACAATTAATCCACATCGGGTCAGGTAATAGGAAAATTTAATAATAAAATAAATGATAAAATTGCAACCTATCAGTAATACAACCTTCCTAAAGCCATTCTCTAAGGTTCCACTATCTCAATAGTAAATGGTACTAGTAGAGGGGCATATATATGCGTGCACGCACACACACACGACTCCTTTGGAAAATACCTTTTGACGCGACAATAGACATTTTTAGATGAAAATTGCTAGTTACTCAACAATTAGCTTAACTTAAGTACTTTTTGACGTGTAAGTCAACAATTTTAGGTAAAAATCCACGATTACTTAGTATAAGAGTTCTAGGAGTTAGAAAGTCACATTTATTCACTATTTTTTTTCTTTTTTTTAATAAAGCAGGAATAAGATGCTCTCTTACCACAAAACTATGCAAAGAACCATGGAGATTAACTAAAGGATCAACTGCTTACACGTAAACTATACTTATTCCATAACTCGCTTATTCAAGTGAAGATGAAGAAAATCATTAAACATGCACTTTTTAATCACAATCTCCTCCACGTGACAAGATATACTTTTCTCACTTGGCAGAATCATAATCATAGTAAAGGTATTCCAAGCCATCAAAATCAAGAATTTTACAAGGTAAATGTGCAATTTCACCAAAATTTGGACAGTTGATCTAACTAGTTCACACGTTTGGACATATTTTTTGAAGAATTTTGGAGAATTTTTTTTAAAAAAATTGACAAAGTTTTCCCTTATAAAGGGACTAAACTCCCTGTCAACAACCCAAAATTTTCACAAAAACCCAACTAACCACAAGTCCAAATATATAAAATTCTGATGCCTGACCATTTCCATGCCAAGACAAACACACATATCACCTAAAAATATCAATTCCCTCCCTTGCAACTAAACACCACATTGTCCTCAATATAAGAGAAAAGAAAAGAAAGTTAAGAAAAAAAAATACTCCCCTTGTGATAGCGTGGAGTGAAGTGTTGAGATTGAGGCAAAGGAGAGGGCAAGAGGTAGCCTTGGTTTGTTAGTTGTGCAATTTGAACTAAATCCAAGGTTATGGATACGCCTATTCCGCTAGTTTCAGCTACCAACGGAATCAGATGGTTGCACGTCCCGAAGAAGGTTGCGAATCAGATGGGAATCCACAACCTTCTAAGTAGGTAGCTAGTTCCTTTGGAGTCCTGGGAGGTTCCTATTCAGGAAGAAGGGTGGATAACAACTACACTAGATAATTACTGGATAATTAATTGAGCCACCAACAAAAAGAAAAAGCACTACTCAATCCACTAACAAAATACTTTAGCATCCAACAGAAATGTCCCAAAATGCTACTTTCAGCCAACCATCCATTAGCCAAAAAAAATTCATTTCCAGCATAACAGAACTGAACAGTCAATCACACAAATCAAGGGCTCAAAGCCATTCGTATGCAGAATGCTGTCTCAACATTCCTAACGGCTCGCCAGCCAACCGCCCACTCATCTTATAGCTAGTTACAATTGACAAGTTCATGCTCAGGATTCAGCACTTTGCCAAGAGTATATTCTTCAAATTTTGTTTAATAGTGTCTAATGGATACTCGTTAAGAGGAAAAGGCATTAAGTCGTCAATTAGCTAGGTGTAAATTTAGTGATGCACTGGTGACAATTGAGCAGCGGAATGAAAAAAATTCTTTCTTATAAAAGCATGTGAAATGGTATGATGTCAAACTCATGTTTTAGTGTTATATCTCGATTTCTGCTTAAATTGATCTTATACTTTATCAGACTAACTCTTTTATTGGTAAAGTATATCTAGAGATTGGAGTTTATGTATGTTGATTTTCAGTTTGAGAACTTGGACGAAAGTAATGTGTAGGCACCTAAAAAATGTTTTAGCTACAACTTGCTTCCGGTTAGCATTTGCAGGTATAATGTGGTGTAATCTCCTATAATTTAATGATTGAACTACTATTGGTCTATAGCATTTTGTTTCATGTTTATATATTTGCCCTTCTAAATTTTGAAATTTTCAAAATTCAACACATCTTATTTCTTAAATTTGAAAAAAATTTTAATCTTTACACGTATAAGAAATTTAACTTGTCACATTTTAACATCTAAACTACTACAGGTCATGAATGACATAACTAAATAATTAGGAACCTTTTTTCTTCATCTAGAACAAGAGTTTAATTAATTCTTACCCGTATTTCTCTCTTCTGGATCTTCCTTTTGAATCCTACCCCAAGCCACCACATTCTCCAGAAAAATATTAGCAGCAAGTCTATTTTCTTCAAAACTTTCCGTCATGTTCACCAGTACTAGTGACCACGCAATGTTTGACTGCCCTTCAAGGCCTCCGGTCATGGGAGAAGATGGAAGTCCAACACTGAATCAGCACCAAATTGTCCTAGGTGTGCCTCTTCTAACACAAAATTTTGCTATTAAAACAACTACAGCATGTCACAGCCCAGATACTTCTGTAAAGGCTGCAGGAGGTACTGGACTAAAGGTAGATCATTGCGAAATGTCCCAGTAGGTGGCGGATGCCGGAAAACTCGTCGAAGCAAGTCTGCCCGGCAGGCGGACCGGCTGGGCTTAATTTATCAGATGCCTAGCCCTGACAGCGCTAGCGATGAGTCAAATAATTCAAGCAATGGAGCTGACATTGATCTGGCGGCAGTCTTCACCAAATTCTTGAATCAAGATAATTCAAGCAATGATCTTGGCAAAATTCATGTCAGCACTGATCAAGAATCATCTTCGAGTGGAGCAAGTTGCACATCCCTAGATTTACCTCTGGGCAGTTTGGATAGAGCAAATCAAATTGAAAACATGATATTCCAATGTCAAAAACCTCCTGATTTCATTGACGAGGATCAGATGCATGAAGGGCATCCTTCATTAAGCATAGATGTAGATAATGTTGAAGAACTTCTGGATCAAAACTGCAATGCATTCGAGTTGCAAACTATTCTTGGTGAAGAGATTGGTGAGGATGCTAGCTTGTCTGATGGGATAAGTTTACCAAATTTTGAATGGCAATCAACCTTGCAATTCCAAGATTTTGGATCATTTTCCACAGATGAGGCGATGAAAATCCCATCAAATTTGGCTGATGACAATTGGAACACATTTGACGTGTCTAATTTAGCAATTTTTTTTCCTTAAAAACTCTTGTTCAAGATGTTAGCTGCCACAATGTCATGAGAGATACATAGGATAAAAGTTAGAATAAATCTTATATACACTGACAGTGCATATACTATTACCGTTGGATTCATGACATGTGTGTAAATATTAAATTTCAAATTCAAATTTTGCATAATTATCATTCATCAAACACTGTCAGTGTAGGAAATATTAATCCTAAAAAGTTAAAATGATCCTTATATATGCTACAAGAGAATAAATTTTTGCCCAGAAGAAATTACAAATGTCTAATTTAGTTGTGAACTTCATTACTTATGATCGACTATGTGAAAAAATAATAATAATAATTCCTGCAGTTATGACACATGGGGCTACGCGAACTTGGGGCAAGGTTTATCAGGCAACATTTCCATTTTCCAACCTTTTTTGGGTCCTTAACTTGTACCGCCTTCTATACTTTCATTTGATACATATTCGAAGAGGAGATTGTTTGTGACAGTGCCGGCTTTTCTCTGAAATATTCTTAAATTTCTTTTATTTTCTAGTTTTTATAATGCAAATGGAAACTTTTGTTAAAATCAAGAAAGCAGATTCACGAGCAGCAACAACCACACTTTGCAAGTATCAAAGAAACAGAACAAAGGAAAACAAAAACTAGGATAACCTACTACATACTACAGTACAATGATTCTTAAATTCATTAGCTCTAGAATAATTAAAAGCTTCTCTAAAATATAACCAAACATCAATTTTAAAAGCACTTCTAAAGGAACCAAAAAACCCCAAAAAAAAAAAGAACAAAAGATATCGTAAGAAAGTACATTGTTTAATAAGTATGGTACTCGAATAATAAAGGCATGCATTTAGTTATTGATTATGGTATACAGCCTTAAGACAATCTGAGTGCAGCTGGAAGAATAAAAAGATCCTTCGAGGCTATAGCCAAATATAAGCTAAAAACTAGAACTCGTTGACCAAATTGAGCTTGAACTTTATCAGAGCCAGCTCAAATTCATCGTACATTTTTGGAACTTCAAACCGCAATTTAGGAAAGAAATATGATGTTTGACAACGTGCTCAAGTAATCAACTCATAATTGATAGCAAGTCATGCAAATTTAGTTTTAACCTCGAGCTCCAACTCAAAGTCGTGACATCTTCGTTAAGAGGAAAATTATATATCATCACATCTTGTACTTTGCACCGACATCATTTCCTTTTTGTCATCTTTATAGGGAAAAAAAAAATTACATTAAACGTTTAAATGAAAATAATAAGTACAATCTTTGCCAACTTTTTATGGCTCCCAACTCTTACATAAAACAAAAAAGATAGACCCCACCCACCAAAAAAGAAAAGAAGAAGAGAAAAGCCAAAGCAAGGTAAAATGCAGGACGAAATGCAAAAGAAATTAAAAATATATTACAACGCAGAGAACAATTTAAAAATATTTACAGTGTCTTAGGTACTATGATATATTGATCACAAATATTTCATATTCGATTGAGGCATTTATCATGTTTAATCAGATGTTTATGTGCTGTAAGAATCTATCACTTAATTAATATATCAAGAATCCAAATCTAAAGGCTTAACATCATTAAATTCAGATAGTTTATATGGCTCCTTGAATCTCATGTCATCGCGACATATCTACTTAAAAATCTGTTTCCCCATTACATATGTGCACCTCGTTTAGTAAGCATGGGAGGCCATGCTGCTGCTGTTGACATACTTAGAATCCTAAACCCAAAAATTAAAATAAAAAAAAAGAGCACCCACATAGAAATAGACACAACTGCAAAACAAAACTGGGTGATCTGAATACGTGACCTAAAAAACCCAACAAAAGGGTTGAATCTCTCTCTCTTGGGAGTTTCTTCTTCTCTCTCTCTTGGGAGTCGTGCACTCTTCTTCCTGGTTGTGGAAGTCTAGGTTGGGCGACTCAAAACTTTGCAAAAAGTTTTCAAAAGCTCAAAAAAACAGGGTATTGTATTTCCCAAACTTCCTGCTACAAAAAAAAAATATATATATTAAAAGATCAGATGGTGTAGGGTTAGGCGACAAATTTGCACTTTTGTCTGAAGTACATTAACTTCCAGCATCAGTTATGGCGACGGTTGGAGTGACCACTGGTAAAGGAAGCAGAGTTCCAACCTGCATGGACAAACAAAAATCATGAGTCTTTCCACTCATTCGTATCATTAGCTTGACAGGTACTAGTTTTGACATCTCCCTGCTGAACCTTAGTCTGTTGTGTTTTGTTTCGTTCGGTTCTCCTTGTTTCCTTTTCTTCTGGTGGTGTTGGGTTTGTCTTTTTGTTTGTGTCAGTCTTAAGTGTGGTTTTTTTGGGTAGTAGGGTCTGTTTTCCTTCTTGTTCGGTGTGGATTGTTCTAGTTTTAGTTTTGCATTCATAATCAAAAGTGTGCTTGGTATTCTCCTGAGAGGTAAGGTGGAGATGGCAGAGGAATTAGCTTCTATTATGCAAAAGTTCGCACTTTCTGAGCAAGAGCTGGGAGGCACAGCTCTGGAACTGGGGGACGCCGACACGGGTATTCAGGAGTGTCAATTGAGCCTAGTAGGAAGAGTAATAGGGGAGAAGGTGATTAACTTTGTGGGAGTGAAAAAATTTGTAAGTCTAGCTTGGGGCTACCCTCGCGGATTGACTGTTATGGAGCTAGGCCCTAACTTCTTTCAGTTTATCATTCCTAGGGAGGCTGATAGAGAGAGGATTATGAATGGAGGACCTTGGATAGTGGACAGTCAAATACTAATTCTCTAAAGCTGGTACAATGGGATAGAGGAAGACGATGGCGCCTTTAAATTGGCTCCATTGTGGATACAGGTGTGGAACCTCCCGGTACACTGGATCTCGAAAGAGGTCGGGTGGAAAATTGGGGCCATTTTTCCAGAAGTGAAGGAAGTTATAGTACCCCAGATGGGAGGAAAGGAAGGGAGGCACCTAAAAATGCTGGTGGTAGTAGATATCTCTCGTCCGTTGGTTAGAGGATCAGTAGTAAAGCTTAGTGGAGTAGGGAAATGGATCAGTGGTGGGTGTCAAACCACCAAAAATAAAATTTATATTAGACCTACTACCAAAACTGAATGAGTATAGTGGTGAATAGGGTCGTCTCCTCAGGGAACAGGTAGGCAAATCACACAGGAAAATGGGGGGAATTTTAGCAGTAGTACCAACTAATTAAAAAGGAATAAAAACTGAAATTTAAAGTTGATTAAGATAGCAGGAACCAAACTAAACAAATAACAATTAATTAAAACAACCTAGTCAAGGAATTAATCTTGGCACCGAAGCACACAACTGATCACAGATACACGGGACAATTCATATACTCACGAATAAACTGGTTATAGTGGTCAAGCGACGCGCCCAACCACCAATCTTTCCTTAATTTTATGGTAGTCAAGAGACGCTCATAAACTACCCTCTTGTGACTAGACAACCCCAGAAACGCTCACAAGATTTAATGTAGCCACAGCATTAGGAATTAGAAAGACCCAATTCTAGATGACAAACACACATGCGGGTTTATTTAGGCTAGATTAATTATCCCCACGATCCAAATTAAACCGCTTGCGAGGCGGTGAAATTGTCTCGGTTACCACTAATCAAGATGCTTAAAGGCGACGCGCCAACATCCTAATTGGCTATCAATTATTTAGACAATTGAATAACAGGCCTAATTATCCAATAAATCTAAACAATAATAACTCAGGGAAAAATAGAGAATAATTAAATACCCATGAACATATAAATTAGAAATAAAACAATTAAAACGATCTCACAGTTATGGTGCTCCAATCCTTGATTTATTCCTCAACTAGATAAAAGAACTAGCCTTGCCGCATAATCATGAAGCAATTCAGAGTTTTCATCGAGCTTTTGTCGATTGAGGAAGTAGTAAAAGATGTCGGCTCCTATTTGCTACTTGCGTTCCAGAGGAAAAAGAGAGAAAAGAAAAACAAAGAGACAAGTCCAAGACAGAAGATGCCCTAGTCTATTGCTGCCTTTTTATTTATAGTGTTGCTGCCGCTTCCCTTTGCTTGTTGAATTGGAATTTGTTTCCCACAAGGATTGTTTCCTTATTTCCCTCATTGGATTGTTGCCAAAAATCCTCTTTGGAAAAGCTTCCTGATCCCACGTATGGTAAAAAGGTATCTTCCAATCAGAATGGTTGTTCCAGGGCTTGGGCCCGCGATCCGGCTTTTTCACGCAACTCTGTGTTGTCTGGCGTGGGCACGCCAGGGAAGACCTAGTCTTCTGGAATTTGCCCTTTTTTATCACTTTTATCACCAATTGCCTGTAATTAACACAAATACCAATTATGAGCAGAAATCCAATACTTTGCATAATAAATTGCCAAAATTAAGACCAAATAACCACAAATAAAATGTATAATTATATCCCTATCAAATTCCCCCACACCAAGACAATGCTTGTCCTCAAGCGTTTCAAACTTTAAATACACAACCAAGCGAGCAAACATTTTGCAGCAGTTGAATTCAAAACAATGGCTATTAATCAAAGCAACTATTGCCAATGTATGATTTAGATAACTGTAAAGTACTGATGACAAATTTTACGAGATAACTCTCCAACTAACTTTTAAAACCAATGACTCTTTCAAATCCAGACTAACCAATCTAAGAATAGAAAATATCCAACCAACATTCTTTAATAACTGGTCCAACCACTAAGCAAAATCTCAACATAAAGACTCATGGATCCGCAGGCAATACAATTATTCGCATACTTTCATGCTCGTATACTTTTTTTTTTTCATTTTTCATCATTTTCATTTTTTTTTCATTTTTTTTTCTTTTTTTTTTTCTTGAAGGAAGTGCTTAGTCTTGAGCCATTCAAGTCTTTTGACGCGAACTCCGACATCTCTTCAATGAAGGAGCTCGGTTACTCAACTTAAACCGCTTAAAAACCACATACTCATAGTTATCGCTGCTTTTTGACGCGAAAATCGACACTTTAGGTGAAGACCCCCGGTT